AATACTCCAGGCACTGCCAGGAAGTGTCAATGTCCAAGCGGGCCTCAAAGATGGACTTGCCGTTGTTGATGCATTCCACAGTGGCAATTTCATCCTTCCGTTCCTTTGGATAAAACAGGAAACTAGATTAAAGACATATTCCAGAATGTCTTGATGTAGTTAATGCTTAAACAGAATACACTGCTCAATTTTTAAAGCTAGAAAGTTTTCACTTTAAGTGAGAAGAAATGGCAGTGTTACATTTAGAAAAGAGATAAAATCTTATGGCTGAACAGCAGCCCTGTTCTTCCCTCATTAACTGACAGAGATTTAAGACCACAACTTTATGCCAAAATCAGTTAGTAAAAGAAGGGGCAAGACCAGGCAGGAATGAACCCATGCCCTCTGAGGCTCTGAATGTCTCAAGGCAGGCTCATTCTGATTTGAAGTGTATGTTTACTGAAGAGGTGAGGGGTAGAGAATGGGGAGAGAATGGGTGGCTCACAAGTAGAAGAGTAATTCATTTTGGGAAATGAACATAATATGTATATGTATATAAATATCTAAGTGCGTTTGCTCATATATGGTAAGAGAAAACAGTTCTTAGGGAAATTTTATTTAAGAGGCTGTAATATGCATCACTTTAATTCACCCAAAGAATTGCAACATATTCTTCTCTAATACTTTCTAATACATAGCACTCAATCATACTGTTTTTCAAATACTGTTTCTAGTTCTGGCCTCCACAACTTACTAAAAATAAAAAAACTCAGGCCAGCCACAGTGGCTCACACCTGTAATCCCAGCACTTTGGGAGGCCGAGGCAGGTGAATCACGAGGTCAGAAGGTCGAGACCAGCCTGGCCAACATGGTGAAACCCCATCTCTACTAAAAATACGATAATCAGCTGGGCGTGGTGGCGTGTGCCTGTAGTCCCAGCTACTTGGGAGGTTGAGGCAGTAGAATCTCTTGAACCCAGGAGGCGGAGGTTGCCGTAAGCTGACAGTGAGACTCTGTCTCAAAACCAAACAAGTAAACAAAAAAAGGGCAAGTTAGCACATTTTAAATAAATATTGCAACTTTTGAATAAATATGCTCCTTCAGAAAGGATTTGTTCACCATTCAAACTTGGTCTAAGTTAAACTGTCTTTTAAACCAACAATTTACCTTCTCTCTTCCTGATTCTATACTCACCAAAACAACCTTTTGACAATTAACTTGTTTCCCAGTATGCTGACACTAGAAAGAGGGTACCTTTGGAGAAAACAAGCACCAATTCTTACACCAAGCATAAATTATTCCCCATTCTTAAGTTTGTTGAGTATAATTAACACAAAATAGTTTTCCAAAGGTATAATCAACCATAAGTAGCTTACATTTTGTTTCTTGAATGCAAGAGAAAACTAGGCCCTAGAGAGGCTAGCTCACTGACCAGCTGAATAAAGTGATGAATCAGCACAGAACAGTTCAAATACAGGGAAGAGATATCACACTGGCAATAGTGAAACACAGTAGTTCTGCTTACATTTCAGTGTAAGAATGAACAAACAGGGAAGTAATCTGTGGCTCTATCGCTGCTAAGCCCTGGAACATTTACTAAGAAATAGAAACTTTTGAGATTTTTTTTCTCTCTCTCTTTTTTTTCTGAGACAGAGTTTCACTCTTGTTACCCAGGCTGGAGTGCAATGGCGCCATCTCGGCACACCGCAACCTCCGCCTCCTGGGTTCAGGCAATTCTCCTGCCTCAGCCTCCTGAGTAGCTGGGATTACAGGCACACGCCACCATGCCCAGCTAATTTTTTGTATTTTTAGTAGAGACGAGGTTTCACCATGTTGACCAGGATGGTCTCAATCTCTTGACCTCATGATTCACCTGCCTCAGCCTCCCAAAGTGCTGGGATTACAGGCTTGAGCCACCGCGCCCGGCCTAGAGACTTTTTTCTCTTTTAAAATAATGGGTAGACAAGTAACTTTGGGGACTGTTTTTGAGGTTTCAACTCTCAGAGAAAATTCAGTTTTCTAGACAGCCTTGGAAAAATTTTTGTCTTATTCTGTTATTCTCCATCCTTACAAAACAAGGTTCTCTACTGAAGAGCATTGGGAGATCTTCTGATATACTATGTAAGGATCATCAAGGGTGTCTCTGACAAAAATTTCTGCCTGCTACTATTGCAAGAACAACCATAAAATGAAATTGTTTGCCATAACGACATATTGCTACAAGTATTAGTTGGGAAATACATGCTTTGTTCCCAACCCTGTTCCTCCTCTATATCACCCTGCTTTACAATGTAACTTGACCAGGTGTCCACTGGGATGAAAGATTAGAAGTCAAGGGCAGGTCCCTCACTTCTATCTTTCACTTTGGAAAAAAATTGAAAGAAAGAGAGAAAGAGAGAGAGAGAGAGAGAGAGAGAGAAATGATGGCCCACTTTTCCAAATTTAATGAAACACATTTACAGATTTAAGAAAACCAATAAACCTCAGGGAAAATACATATGAAGAAAACTGCACCAAAAGACATCATCATCAAATTGCTTAAAACCAGTGATAAGGAGAAAAATCGTCAAATAGCCAGGTGTGGGGGAGAAGGGGTAAACTACCTACAAAGATGCAAAAATGACAGTAGATTTCTCTTCTGAAACAACATGAATCAGAAGACAGTGGAGCAATATGTTTAAAGTTCTGAAAGAAAAAACTATGTATCTAGAATTCATTCAAAAATTAATGAAAAAAAAAAGAGTTTTTTAGACATACAAAATCTGAAAGAGTACCGACAGACCTGCACTGTAAGAAATGCTAGGCTGACGGGCGCAGCAGTTCACACCTGTAATCCCAGCACTTTGGGAAGCTGAGGCAGTAGGGTGACTTGAGCCCAAGAGATCAAGATCAGCTTGGGCAACATAAAGAAACCTACTCTCTACAAAAAATACAAAAATTAACCAGATATGGTGACGTGTCTGTAGTCCCAGCTACTCAAGAGGATGAAGTGGGAGGATCATTTGAGCCCAGAAGGTCAAGGCTACAGTGAGCTATGACTGTACCACTGTGTTTCAGCTGGGGAGTAAGAGCAAGACCTTGTCTCAAAAAAACAGAAAAGAAATGCTGAAGAAATTCCTTTTAGCAGAAGAAAAATGATAGCAGATAGATACCTGGGTTGACACAAATGACTGATGAGCACCACAAACAGTAAATATGTGGACAAATATAAAATATTTTACCTTATTCTTAAAATCTTCAAAAAAAAATAACTCTTTAGAGCAGCGATTTTTTAAAAAAAACTTACAGCCTGGGAAACATGGCAAAACCTTACCTCTGCAAAAAAATACAAATAAAAATTAGCCAGGTACATGGTGCATACCTACAGGAGGCTGAGGCAAGAGGATCCTTTGAGCCCAGAAGGTTGAGGCTGCAGTGAGCCATGACTGGGCCACTACACTCCAGCCTGGGTGACAGAGCAACACCCTGTCAAAAAAGGAAGGAGCAAAGAACTGCAGATCTTGATTAACTAGAAAAATCACTAAAAGAAAACTGAGAGCTAAAACGATTATAGGTATGGTCACAGAGTGGGATCTCTTCAGTTACGGAATAAACTGGGGTGAAGGCAAGTCCAGAGCATGATCATCAGACAAGAGCTTTAAAGAAAGGTAGTAGTGTGTTTCTGATTAATAAAACACCACACAGGTATCAAAGGAAATACAAAGGGGAGGGTAAAGTAAAAAGCAATGAAAGTTAGTATCAGACAATAGATTTCAGAGCAAAAACTATTATTAGATATTATTTAGGATCAATAAAAGTCATTTCTTAAAAATAAAGGAACCAATTCTTAACAGCCCTACAATACTGCTAAGAGAAAAAAATAAAATGGACAAATGAAAATAATAAATTAACTTTGGTTTATTGAATTAAAAATAAATTTTTGGCCTGGCACAGTGGCTCATGCCTGTAATCCCAGCACTTCGGGAGGCTGAGGCGGGTGGATCACGAGGTCAAGAGATCAAGACCATCCTGGTCAACAAGGTGAAACCCCGTCTCTACTAAAAATACAAAAAATTAGCTGGGCATGGTGGCGCGTGCCTGTAATCCCAGCTACTCAGGAGGCTGAGGCAGGAGGATTGCCTAAACCCAGGAGGCAGAGGTTGTGGTGAACCGAGATCGCGCCATTGCACTCCAGCCTGGGTAACAAGAGCGAAACTCTGTCTCAAAAAATAAATAAATAAATAAATAAATAAATTTTTAATAACGGGAAAATACTTCATTGGGAGAAAATTCTGCATGAATATTTTGATATTTCTGCATGGTCAGGGTCTTCTGAGCAAAGGACACTAACAAACTGACTGAAAAGCAAAGGCCTGAAAGGCAAAGGCAGTGTCTCCCTAAAGATAGAGAACTCTGGAGAAATGTGGAATTGTAAACCTCCATATTTGCTGTTCTTGGAAACATCTGCTTATACTACAAGATAATGAACTTAGTGACACCTTCCCTCTCAACCCTGGAGATGTGCTTAGTAAGCAATCTCAATCTCTCTCTCTCTCTCCCTAAAGGAGAGGATAGGCAGATGTGCCAGTAGCCTCTATTTAAATGAATCTCAGAATTTTAGGATTCTTCTTTGCTGCAACTTTCTGCATGCACAGGGATCTCACCTGGTTCTCACCACATCCCGTCACCTACCGTGGGGACTGGTGCTTCGAAAACAAAAACTAAGCCGGGCGTGGTAGCTCATGTCAGTAATCCCAACACTTTGGGAGGCTGAGGTGGGCAGGTCACCTGAGGTCCAGAGTTTGAGATCAGCCTGGCCAACATGGGGAAACCCCATCTCTACTAAAAATACAGAAAACAGCCATGGGTGGTAGCACATGGCTATAATCCCAGCTACTCAAGAGGCTGAGGCAGGAGAATCACTAAAACCCAGGAGGCAGAGGTTGCAGTGAGCTGAGATTATACCACTGCACTCTAGCCCCGGCAACAGAGTAAGACTCCATCTCAAAAAAAAAAAAAAACGGAGACAAGGGCACGAGCATTGGATAGTTACAGACATGCCTTTCTTGGACGTGCAGAAAAGGTTCAGCATTAACCTAGATCGGTGGTGGACAATCTAAAGTGCTGAACAGCCCTACAAGTTTCCTGCTCGATGCCATGCTTTTGAAAAAGAATGGATAGAACGTGCACATGGAATCGGTACTATCCGGGCAGAGAAAGAGTGCAAGATAGAATATGATGATTTCATAGAGTGTATACTTCGGACAAAAACAATGAAACGTATGGATACCATCTGGAGGCAACGGGAAAAACTGATGAAGGAAGGGAAGTACACCCCTCCACCTCACCACATGGGCAAGGGGGAGCCTCGGCCCTGAGCAGACACAGCTACTGATATCTGGAAGCTGAGTTTCATGTTCTCTGTTCTCCACTGGAAAGGTTGTTTATGGAAAACCTCCTTGTCAAAGTGTGGAAAAATAAAGTATTGCTCCATCCTAAAAAAAAAAAAAAAAAAAAACAACAAAAAACACAGAAACTAGTGCTAAGGTATTGCTATGGCTGCTGCATTTTGCTGTGAATAATAAACCAACTTTTTATTTATTTATATCCAAAAAGCCTCATGTCTCTTGCCAGCATATTTATGTATATTATATACATATATTATACATAGTTATATAATTTACACATATAACAGATTATATGCATATTATATAGATTAATTATATGTGTATAGTTATGTTTACATATGTGCTATATATATGTGTGTACAATATATAGCTACACACACTCTTCGAAGTAGGTAACTCTCAGACCCTTCACAGTTTTACTTAACATACTTATGACGAAAAGTCATCACAGATCTACCACTCAGATATCCATGATGCATATTTTGATGTATTTTCTTCTGAATTTTCCAACTTTCTATGAGCATCTGGTACTTCTGATCTTTAAGACAATATAAAGTTTAACTTTCTTTTTTTAAAGAGAACATCTACAAATTTATGAAATCTTCCCAGACTATTAAAGCTACAAAACTTTACTTAAAACCCTATCTGAAAACAAATCTAAAAAACAAAGGTAGACTTGAGGGTCATCAGCATAAAGAATAAAAGGGAGGCCGGGCGCGGTGGATCACGCCTGTAATCCCAGCACTTTGGAAGGCCGAGGCGGGTGGATCACGAGGTCAAGAGATCCAGACCACCCTGGTCAACAAGGTGCAACCCCGTCTCTACTAAAAATACAAAAATTAGCTGGGCATGGTGGTGCGCGCCTGTAGTGCCAGCTACTCGGGAGGCTGAGGCAGGAGAATTGCTTGAACCCAGAAGGCAGAGGTTGTGGTGAGCCGAGATCCTGCCATTGCACTCCAGTCTGGGTAACAACAGCGAAACTCCGTCTCAAAAAAAAAAAGAAGAAAAAAGGAAACAAGTAAACAACATGGGTTAAAAAGAAACAGAAGGCCAGGCTCGTAACTCGCCTGTAATCCCAGCACTTTGGGAGGCCGAGGTAGGTGGATCACTTGAGGTCAGGAGTTTGAGACCAACCTGCTCAACATAGTGAAATCCATCTCTGCTAAAAATACAAAAATTAGCCAGGTGTGGTGGCGGGCACCTGTAGTCCTAGCTACTTGGGAGACTGAAGCAGGAGAATTGCTTGAGCCCGGGAGACGGAGGTTGCAGTTAAGTGAAATCGCTCCACTGCACTCCAGCTGGGTGACAAAGCAAGACTCCATCTCAAAAAATAAAAATAACAAAGAAAGATGAGCTATAAAAAGTGCATTATAATTCAAAACAATGACAAACATGAAACCTGAGATGTCCAAGAGCCAAGATCCAGATGGGAAGTATCGAACAAAACTTGTTTTGTACACTAAGGTGAGCATGTAGAAATGTTTTTCTGTTTTATAAAAACGTTCTGATCGAATGTTGCACCAAAGTCAAACTGCAAACATCACAAAGAACACTCAGAGCAATGTCTGAGTTTTCCAGAAGGGAATAAATTGGAACATACCCTTATTATTCTGGCAGCCTCCAAAAGGATTCGGCAACGCTCCATGCCAGATTTTTGACTCCATATTTTAAAAGCAGCCTTTGCATTCTGAACAGCCAAATTTACTTCCTTTTCTCCTGAACATGTGAAAGTAGCTATCACTCGGCCTATAAAGAGAGGAAAAGTCAGTTTTATCTCAAATCATTGCCACATATTTAAATAAACTATTATGTATCAACATTCTCTTAGTATTCCCTTCTTGTTTTTCAGTATGGTTTGATTTAGTGACCACCTCTGTATTAAAAGTTCTTTTTTGAGACAGAGTCTCACTCTTGCCACCCAGGCTGCTGTGCAACGGCATGATCTTGGCTTACTGAAACTTCGCCTCCCGGGTTCCAGAAATTCCCCTGCCTCAGCCTCCCCAGTAGCTGGGATTACAGGCGCATAACACCACACTTGCCTAATTTTTGTATTTTCAGTACAGATGGGGTTTCACCATGTTGGCCAGGCTGGTCTGGTACTCCTGACTTCAAGTGATTCACCTGCCTCAGCCTCCCAAAGTGCTGGGATTACAGGTGTGAGCTACCGTGCCCGGCTTAGCAGTTCTTAACTGAATTTTGTGGTCATTGACACCTTTCAGGAGTCTGATAAAAGCAGCCCTCTCTCCAGAAAAATGTACTTAAACACATAACAGAATTACAGGGATGCCAAGTCCCCAGCCCTAAATTCATCATGGATTTAGGGTTAAAAACCCCTGTTCTCTACTGTTTTACAATTGGGTGTATTAACATTAACTTCCTATAAGTTTTGCAACACTCCTAAACATTATCTCACAATCTCAGGGGTCTTGCAAAATGAAAGTCAAAAGTAATCAGTCTACTGGGTTATGAACTCTGACTGTAAATCCATCATCTAAAATGTTCTAAGTATGTTATACTACTGATACTTGATAAATCTAGTTAATAAGCAGTAATAACACGATAAGGCATCTCTAAAAGAACGTTTTTTCCCCTCAAAAAACCCAAGATTTCCTTTTCTTATTCCACCTTTAGTCCCCCTCCCTATTCTGGTGCAAATTACAAAACAATTTTTCTGGACCCACTCCCAAGGATTGTACTGCCTCTACCAACAAGAATTCATTAAGTTTGCCAACTCAGCAAATCCTGTTCACAAGAACTCCTGGGACTCTTTCCAAGGAGATTTCACAAATCTGCAACTTCTGTTACAAACTTGAATAGCCAGCTGGTAAAGGCTGTGGCTGAGAGTCACACACACTTCAGGCAATTAAAGAGCAATTTTTCTTTTCTTTTGTACCAAGATTAGGTCAGGGGTATAGAGGCTGTTTCCTCCTATATAAAGAAGAAATGTGATAATGCCTTCTGGTTCTGCCAAGTCACTGCTCTGATTTACTGTGGATGGTCAAATACTAAATTCTCCAGTCCCTTGCAATCCAGTTTTATTGCTCTGGCTACATTTTACACAGAATATTTACATTTTTCTCGCCACATATATTCCATAAAACCCAGCAAAATAAACACAAAATCAAAACAAAAAGCCTCTTCCTCCTTATGGCTGTGACCCTCAGAGTTTCCAGAGTAAATCCAATGCCTAGCACAGTGCTTAGCACACATTAAGCACTGGATAAAAGTTTTATTTCGGGAAGATGAATACATGACTACGGTTACTAACACTGCATACCATACTTGAAATTTGCTAAAAGAACATATCTTAAATATTTCACTATCCAAAAAAAGTCTTAATTATGTAGAAGCAACGGATAATCAGATTGATTGTGGTAATCATTTTGTAAGGTATACATACATCACGTTTTACACCTTAAGAACATACCATTTTTATTTGTTAATTACACTTCAATAAAGCTGGAGAAATATGTATTGAATAAGAGTGGGGTTTTTTCCTTTCCCAATTCTGATTAACGTGCAGAAATATTTTAATATTAGAATGTGGAGACAAAGTCCTCATTCGTAGTCATTAGACACTATCTGTGAGCGCTCCCCTATTCCCAGCACAAATGATTATTCCCCCCCAACCCCGCCCCGTTCTTCTAGAAAACCTCTCCTACGCACACATGTGAAGACAATAATACATCAGTTCTAGTTTGAAAAGGAAACAGTTGGTCGGGTGCGGTGGCTCAAGCCGGTACTCCCAACACTTCGGGAGGCTGAGGCGGGAGGATCACCTGAGCTCAGGAGTTCGAGACCAGCCTGGGTAACATGGTGAAACCCTGTCTCTACTAAAAATACAAAAATTAGCAGGACATGATGGTGGGCGCCAGTAATCCTACTCGGGAGGCTGAGGCGGGAGGAGCACTTGAGCTAGGAAGGTCGAGGGTGCAGTGAGCTGAGGTCGCGCCAGTCTGGACGACACACAAAAAAACGAACAGTTAACCGAGGCACGACTTCCCGCACGAGGACTTTGAGATCTCTGTTCTGGCCCGGGTAAAACTACTCACGATCCCACCACGCAACTGACCAGCTTTTCCTTTTCCTCCCTTCCCGCCCAGAGGCACTCGCGTTGCCCCAGAATCCCTAGCTGCCTACACGTACAGCCTTAGACTCTCCACCGTCACTGTGCTCAAGTCAACCTGCAGAACACAAGGGAACTAGGGCTGGCCGGGAAATCCGCGCGCCGGCCCCGCGGCGCCCTAGCCTCCCGGGCTCCGTGCAGTTACCGGTTGCCGGCTCGAAAGCCTTCTCCGTGCCAGAGGCGTCCGCCGGCTCCACGCGGGTCCCGCCACGGTAATTAAGCGGCTGCGACACAACGAAGGTGCCGGTGCTCATGGTGGCCACAGGAGACTGCAGAACACTGCGAAGAAACGAAGAAACCGCAGCCCGGCCCGCTCGGAAAAACATAAGAGGCGGGCGCCGCTCCCGAAAAGACGCTCTGGGCCTCCGAGGGGCGGGGCCTCAGAGGGGAGGGGTCGCGGGAGGGGAGGGGGGCGCAAGAATCGGTTGCAGGAGATTCTAGAGGCAGTCAGTCACTCAGTTCCTCAGAGATCCAGGTCAGGCCCTCGCCTCTCCAGGAGGGTGGGGCAAGACACCAGTCTCCCCGCCCCTTCCTCTCCGTCCCTCACTCCCCGCGGCTTCCCCTCTACTTTCTTCCGCCCGCCTCTTCCCCCGCTCGTGCGCCACAGCCGACAGTCTCTAGGCGAGAAGAGGACTTCCTTCTTCATCATCAGTATTTGCGCCGCACGGGCGCACTTAGCAAGCATTTTTGGATTCTTCGTTGCATGTAAGCATTCTAGGAGCCCATTCTTAATCCTATCGCCTGAAGAAGGCAGAGGATTGGAGTGCCAAGAGTTTTCGGTGGTTTCTTCACCGACAAACCACCGTTTATCTGCATGATACTTTTTAAAGGGTTGCAGTAAAAAGCGAGAGGACTGTGTGGAAGAGATAGACGATATTGTGATGTGAAACTGCTTTTTAAATTCTTGAAGAGAGGCTGGGCGCGGTGGCTCTCACCAAGGCTGCGGAATCGCTTGAGCCCAGAAGTTTGAGGGCAACATAGAGACCCCCGTCT